GAACGTTGTGCCTCGCGCATACTTTGGGGTCTCCCACCCCGCGGCCTCGGGAGAGAGGTCGTGGTGGTGGTGGTCCGCCATGCAGGCCATGATGCACAACATACACAACGTTTCAACCGCCCTTGAGATGAAAGGTGCCTTTTCAACCGGGAACTCGGAAAGGGCGACGTCGGAGGCGGCAGTGACGCCACAGGGGAGGCCAAGAATAACCGTACACCCCAGTGTCACCGAGTGTAAAGCAAAAGAGACCGGCAGGAACACCTCCATTTACTGAACGGTTCTTTCTTTTTATGAGACCATGAGGCCAACTTTGACTTTGCGAGAAATCGGTCCCCATTGTAATACGTTGATTGAAATACCGGGAGGAAATATGAGGAAAATACGTGAGGAAAAAAGAGGCGCGCGAGGCCCACCTTGGAAACGATTGGTATTGAGGAAGAGGAGAACATGTAATTGTCACCGGGGAGGTGGCGCAAGAAGCCAAGCCTCAGAGGAAAATGGTTGAGGAAGAGGAAAATCGAGGATTGCTACTTGCTCATCTGCGATTTATGACTCTTGTTTCAAGGAAATTCAGAGGAAGCTAGCTGCGCAACTGCGCACCTTTTGACATTGAGGATGTGAGGATGTGAGGATTTACAAATGCTTCGTTGAGGAAGAGGACCGAATCCAGGGACATAAAAGAAGCTGCTTGCACTCACAACGCTTCAAGTGACTCCCTCGATATCGGCAACGGTTCTCAGTTACTTCATCAAGCACTACCAATAGCACCGCTCCATCACTCTCAGACTTTCAGTCATCTCTTTCAACCACATCAAACATCATCATCGATAATGGGCGGCCACAAGAGCTCAAGCTCCAAGGGCCACGGCGGCTCCCATGGAAAGTCCCATGGCAGCAGTTCTGGCGGCAAGAAGCAGTACATCGAGTACCAGGTCTGGTACTGTGTAAGTGAAAGCTCCATCTTGGGTCATCCATGACTTGCTCCGACTAACACGCCTACGCTTCCAGAGCTCCTGTGAACATGGACCACACAATCCTCACAATGACGCACACTGTGCCAATTGTGGACACCGACGCTGCCTCAATTGCCCGACCAGCACAGTCCGCCAGCGTGCCGATTACTGAGTGAGTGCGATTTGTCTTGGAGACGAGGGTCTGCGTGGAGGTCTTCTATCTGTAGCAGACGCGGGCGTGAGGCATGGGAGACTGGGCATTGGCATAGGGGGTGTTATGGACACAGCAGGGGCAATGCAATATCATGTACATAGACGCCTGAGAAGAAAAGCGATCATATGCCATGATCGGCCTAGCTATGGGATTACAACTTAAAAATGGATATTGGAAAGACGAAACACCTAATGCTTGTCGTAGTGTGCCTCGTAATGGTACGCCGGAGTGGCCGCCTCCTCATGTAGTAATTTGACGTCATCCTGAAAAAGACTCTTTGCGCAGCACTCTGCGGTCAACCGGCATTGCTGCCAGTATGATATGTCAAGATCCGCCTGATAACATGCCTTCTATAGCCAGTAATGGTCACTCGATAACATCTCGACTCGAGGCGCCTTCGTCCGGTCACTGGGTGACAGGTACCGTGAAACGTTGTCAGACCGACTTCGACAACAGCCAAGTTACATTCCATAAAGTGAGAGAGTCCTCAGTCTGTAAGACAGGGCTGTTCCGGTCTGCGTAGCATTGGCAGACAAGTAAACTTCGGTCAAGTTTTCCATACCGGCGAGACCAAGCGGTGTGGCGGGGTACACCGTAATGTAATGTCTTGTAAGATGAAAAGAGAAACGGGAAACGGCCACTCTTACACAACGAGGCAACTTGGAAGAGTCAAACAGAGATAGGCATTCTTCGGGATGAGGCCAAAGCCAACTTGGAAAACGATTGGAGTGGGAAGCGGATTCAATGAAAGTGTAGGTATACCGAGTTGACGGGGAAGGAGGCGAAGCCAAAAAAAAACAACCCAGCCCCAGAGTGCTCCATTGAAACTTTTCTACGCGAAAAAAGCGTGCAAACCACAGAGATGCTTGATACTCACCGAGCTTTGCGAACTAGGGAATTGGGAAATGCGCACTCGCGCGACTACTCGCCATGGGACTGTTCCAATTACACTTGCAACTGTTGCCTCAACAGAATAGGTTATAAGCCCATCGAAGTCCCTTCATCTCGAAGACGAAAGAGAAGAATCATCATCAACTCAAGCATACAAACACATCAAAACCAGACTCATTATACAAGCACCGCAGCAAACAGCAGTCAAATCAGCTCATACACTTGCTAAGCTTCTTTCAACGCTCGCCCATCATGCCTAAGCCCACGCCCACCGTCAAGATCACCGTCTGGTATTGCGTAAGTTCAGAGACGCACGGCTCTTCATCACCTGGTCTCGTCCTTTTGCTAACCAACCCTCCTCTCTCAGCACAACTGCTCCTCTGGCCCGCTCAACTGCAAGATCGACGCTTACTGCCCATACTGCCACCATCAGAAGTGCTCTGGGTGTACGACAACGACGATCAGGACTCCGGCTAGTCGATAAGTGAGTCTGGCTCTCTCACCATGGCACTGGCCACTGGCCTTGAAGACGCTTGCTAGAGACTAACAAGTGATCTAAGTGAGTCTGGCTCTCTCACCATGGCACTGGCCACTGGCCTTGAAGACGCTTGCTAGAGACTAACAAGTGATCTCGTAGACGAGAACCCTCTCTTGATGGCAGTCGTCACACTATGACCTGCTGGATCTGGCAGGTCCCCACCCATGACTGGCGCCCTGGACGACACGTCCTTCAACTTCGCCGCCACCAGTCGCAATAGCGACTACGACAGACAAGAACCTTCCAAACAGCAGAAGGGAACAGGTGCCGCCATAAGGGCCGCAAGGACGAAAACACACAAGACGGAGAAGGACAGGGAAGGAAAGAAAGGCAACCCGCTGGCCGGGCACAGCCACTCATCACCCAGCATCATACACGAAACGGACCCCTCCACAGCATCGAGACGACGTAGAAATTAGATAGACTTAGCCTCAGGGCGAGAACTCAGGCATAGCGAATGAACCAAGTCTTTTTGGATTTTTGTAACAAGTTGGAAATGTAAAGCAAAGCATCCGGCCAGAAAAGTGGAAATCGAGTGTGGCTCGTGCCTTTAGCGCTGGTTGCCTCGTGCTTTCGTGTAGAAAAAGTTGCAACTCTGCGGTAGGTATGTCGTGGGAATTGAGAAGGTGAAGCTCGAGGATGACGGTGTCCACGGCCCCACTTGATCCAGGAGCTAGGCTCCCGGGGAGGGGCTAAAAAGTACTGATTAGCGCAGCGGCGCACATTCGCAAGTACGCAGGCGCGGAATTGAGCAACTGAGTGTCAGTTCCAGTGGTCGTGAAGCACTGTCCGTGGTTGCGGAAAGGGAGTCAAAGTCTGCCTTTCCCGAAGGAAGGTAGGTAGTTGAGAAACACACGACGAGTGGAAAGCAATGATCTTGGAGGGGTACCCAGGTAGTCAAGGAATGCGGCTCAAAAAAATGCAGAATGGGTGATTGGAGGATGACGGGGGCTGTGCATAGGTCCCCAATGCTCCAATGCTACTGACATACGTCCGGCCGTTGTTTGGTTGGGTCCAAATGGTGCGTATGACCAGATAGTTGAGGCTCTTCTTCCCATTCCTAAACGGCGAATCGATGGCCGCGACGCAAGAGCGATACCGGCAGAAGCTGATTACCTTGTGTTTCATTGGCGGAGGGGATGACATCGACAAAAGAAACGGAAGAAACACACCGGCCGGGTAAAGTCACTGTTCGGCGAGCCAAAAGCGTGACCTGCCTTCACCGTCAATCAGGTGTCCCTACGGCCCCACTTTACAGACGGGCGGGCAGACGGTATGGGGCTCTACTTCCCCTTGCCCGTCATACCTGCGACCAATAGGTAAGGTGGCTAGCCACAACCAGCCACATCACAAGTGTTCCCCTTCAGCTGTCGTCGGAGTAAGACCCGGCGTCTTGCCGCCACACCTCGTCCTGCCGCCTGCCTGCGATGAGAACGTCCGTCTGCCAAGAGCGCAACCCTTTTGCAAGCCAAGTTTAGAGAACAAAGAAACACAGAAAAACAAATCAGCCATGTTTAGGAAACCGTAGCGGGCCGCCCGATACCGCCCGACGAGGCAGAAAAGGACGGGAACAAGAAACAAGACTCCACCCTAGACCAAGACGCCTAGGTAGCCGAGAGGAAAGTGACTGGCGATGTCCAAAAAGCAAAAAGAAAAGTACAGAATCAGTCATCTCACCCAACCCGTCGCGAAACCGGAGCACCGCGAACGCCAGCGACCAACCTCATCCCAACGGCCGTTCCCCAGCGCCGTTTGCTGTTTGTCGCTTCGCCGCAACGCCCCGGGTTGCATTTTCCCATCCAGTCACGCCAATCTAGGCAGGTTTCTGGAACTATTCGCGGCACAGCCCCGGGCCCCGCCCACGACTCCGTCACCCTGTCGCAGTCTCAGAGCCCAGAGGCCGTAGGCGGAAGGCCAAGGGGAGAAATGGGGTCCCGCCGCCCGGGAGTGAATAAAAGGTCCATGCAGCATTCCATTCCAAAGCTACTTGGTACGTACCTTTGTTTCTTGACCGACGAGTCCACCTCGGTGTGTCTATTGGTCATAAATATCACCCAATCACCGCCTCACCTCATCATTGCCCTTCACCTTCGTACCCGGATGAAAATGCTCGCTCGCTCCCTCACCACCCCTCTGACCTCAACCAGCGCGTGCCGCCTGACAGACTAGGCTCGGTCAACGAATTCAACCTCACGCTAGTCACGAAATGTTGGAGAATAAAATCATTGGTTGTCGCCAAAAGTCACACCTCGCGTCATCATCAAAATTTAGCGTCATTTTCGTGTGCTCGAGAGGCAATGGACGGAAGAAAGTTGTAACATGCCAGTTAAAAATAAAATATGCCTAAAACTGCTGCTGCTGACCACCGTCTGAGGGGGAAAAAAGTAAAAAAAGATGATTAGACCCTCCCTGCAACTGGCAATGAAGTCCCCCAGTTCCGATAAAACGTATGCAGCCAGATTTCGCAGGGGAGAAGCGAGAATGCCCAACTCTCAGGCAGAGACCGATGTCCGTCCCAAAAGCTTCGACGTCCTTGTCTCTCATTGCCTCTCCCCCCCTTTCGTCACTTCTTCGTTCGTCTCTCCCCTGTACCATGTCGTCCTTCCCTCGATTCCCGTAATGTACAATGCCTTGCCTCCGTTTCGCCTGTTGAATGACCGAAAACACCTTGCCAACGCCAAACTCATCCGTGCCGCCCTCGTTTGTCGACGTCAAGATTCAATATGATGGATAGGCATCGTGAATGCCTCATGCAATGTGGCCCAGACTTCGCCACTGGCTCGCCTAATCTTGCCGGGCTGTGATCGTGGCCCCCGGGCTCACAAGCTCAGGGCTTACGAGGCGGATGGTGGAACCGCGTGAGAGCTCTTCCAGTGCGTTGCGAGATGCCTTGCTAAGACTTCTGTGAAGCTTTTGACCCTTGCTCTTCTCCGGGGTAAGTTCCTCCTCGTTCTCTGCTCCCGCGGCTACAATCGTCATGCTCGGTGCACGACTGCTCAGCTTCTTGGGCGAGACCTTTCCGTACGTCTTGAGCATCTTCCCGGAGCCCGACTTACGGACTGCGGTAGCTTTGCGCGCGGGGTTGGGTGCCGTGTACTTCTTCGGTGTCGACTTCTTCGGAGTTGCCTTCTTCGCCGCTGTCTTCGCCGGAGTCGCCTTTGTGCCCTTGGCCGACTTCACCGGAGTACTCGTCTTGCCGGTGCCGCCGAGAATTGCCATCGCCGACACACGTCTCTTAACCGTAGCCGCGCTCTTGGACGCAGCCTTGGTGAGCAGGCCAGTCGAGGATAGTGATCGTCTCACTCCCTTGGCAGCCTTGATCTTGCGCTTCTTTGCGGAACCGCCATCTTCTTCGTCGCCAATCATCGTTTCAATCTTTCTCTTGCTCGCTTTGACCGCGCTCTTGACCACGGCCTTGATAGTCGACTTGGGAGGCTTGGGCTGTTTGACTTCCTGAGGCTTAGGCCCTAAGATCCCTCGACAGTTTGGCGCGCCGCAGAGACACTTTTGAACGTTCTCGTCGCTGAACGGACTGAAGTTGTAGTCGTAGGTGAGTTCCTCGCCCGTCATAATGGGCTTATCCCCCGCGAACAACGCCATTCTAGGCTGGCCAGAGACAATCCACTTGATCATGCGGCAGTTTGGAGCACATGAGTGGTTGACGAAACGAGCGATGCTACCGGTCGTGGCGTCGATAATCATGTTCTGGTCGAAGCTCATGAGATAGTAGCACTGGTGATGCGGTTAGCGTTGCTAGGCGTCAAAGTTGGCGAGATCTTTACCCACCTTGTTATCCTTGTACTTGGTTTCCATGCGGTTGTTGCATTCCTCATCGGTAATGATCTCGCCGGTGTACTCCATGACAATCTGGTTCGGCTCGAAGCATCTGTTCGCGCGAATGCCGTAGCCACGGTCAGATGTCTTGATGACCTCGACACCGACGCGATACTTGCCACCACCTGCCTTTCTCTCTTGAAGATCGGCAAAGGCACGGTTCGTACAGTTTTCCCGGCCCACGTTGCAGTTCTTGTCGTCGCACTCGTACAGCATGATTCGGTTCTGGCAGTCCTCACTGCATCCATCCTCGGGTTTGCAGACGCACTTGGACTGGTCGATGAAGTGCGGCGTCTTCTTCCATAGGCTCAGAGAATCGCCAACGAAACGGTCTGTATCAAGGTTAGTGAGAGAGCTTGGCTAGCGGAGACGGGAATCTAACTCTTTGTCATCTTGCGGAAGTCATCGGGCTTCGGCTGGCCAGGCGGCAAAGGATTGCAGACGTCAAAGGGGAGCTTGAAATCGCGACCGCTGAGCAGCAGGCGCAGTCCATTAAACATTGGCAACGGGAGCGCCTTGTTGGGGCGACCATAGTTCTTGAGCTCCGGTGTTTGCGCAAGCTTTCTCTGCTCAGGTATCGACAGACCCTTGGTCAAATCAGACGGAGCCGATTGGCCGGCATACAGTCCACGATCGAGATATTTCTTGTGACGCTTCGTCTTCTTGGAGGGGGCGTCGGCAGCCTTCTCGGCCTTCTCCTCTACCTCCTCTTTCTTGGTCTCGAGCGGCTCAGATTTGGCCTTCTTGGCCGGTGGCGCGGGGATGTTGCCGTTTTCGTCCAAGATCACGAGCTTTCCGTTAGACCAGACGGTTCTGATGACAGGCTTCTCGTCAATGCCGGTGAACTCCTTGGTATCTTGCAGGCGGCGCAATTCGCGGGGAATTTTGGACATGTTCTTCTCGAAGGTTTTGCGACTCCGCTTGCCGAGATTGGAGACTTTAGTCGCAAGACTCTCGACAGGGGTTCCGATAAGACGCGCCGTGTGACGAGTAATCCGCGACGTTGCTGCTTTTTCCGCAGTAATCTTCTTCGCACGCGGTGTCTTGAGAGCTCCAACAGACCATTGGAGGTCCAACGCGTCAATGCCGTCGCGGACAAGGTTGCTAGCGACACGCGCCACTTCGTCCGTATTGGCTCTGCCATCGACAAGCGTCTCGCCAGAAATGGTTCGGCGCCGGTCAGCAGCGACAATATCGCCCTTGGAGCGGCGGTGACCGCGGTTCGCCGTGCCACTGAGTTTTGAGAGGTTGTATACACCTTTACCGGAGCAAGACCGACGTGGGCGCGCTGCGGGCTGGGGCTCCGAGGGCGTTTCGGGTGCAGGGTCGGGAGTCGGAATGGCATCCGCAGGGATTTCGATTTGAGCCTCGATTTCGGTCTCGACAATGGTTTCGGTTTCGAGAATGATGGGGATGTCGTCTAATTTGGGGCCTTCTGAAGCCTGGCTGGCAACATCGGATATACTGGTGGGAGGCGTGGAGCTGGAAGACGCGATGTTGGAGGAGGAATCAGTAGCGAGAGCGGATAGCAAGCCGCTATCGCTGTGTAGGAGAGACATGTTGGGCGAAAATACCCAGTCTCGACGCGATTTTGAACTTTTGCGTCGTTTATATCGTGTTTGGAGGTCGGCAGAGGGGAGATGCGACGCGTTCCAAAATAGAGTGTGCGTGTGTTGCGAGGTGGGAAGAAAGTTGGGGGTGGGAGGTCCAGAGAAGTTCCAGACACGAAAAAGGCCAAGGAGAGGGATTAGACCGGGGTGTGTGCGGAAACCGTCTCCCCAGGCACGCAGAATTGGCTCGTTCGCTGCCTCTTAGCTCTCAGCTTACCGGCCGGGCATTGAGTGGCAATAAGGTAAAGGTAGTTTCCGAGGGTATTTGGTAGACGAGGTACTCTGTGCCGTAGCAAACCAAAGCGCACTTCAGCCGAGTACCTTAGCAAGCGGAGGGAGTGTAAAAAGGGGGAAAGATGAGGGAATAAGGGAACCCGAATAAAAATTGGTAAAGTCAAAAAGTTGTTCCCGAGTTCCGAAGTCTGTATTGGGCAATTGGACGATTGTGGTTTGTTGGAAATTCTACGATGGATTTCCGATATTGCTGTGAATAAGCGCGGTTCAATTCCTGGCAAGAGCGCGCGTGAGAAGTTGTAGCGCTGGAGGGTGAGTCGTGATAAGCCGGAGAGCGGGAAGTGAGGTGGAGTGTAGTGTGTGTGTGTGGTGTGGCAAGGTAAGGTAAGGTAGGGTGAGATGGAGGGATGAGACAAAGACACGGAGTCTAAGGTAAGGTAGGGTACCTTGCGGTAGAAAGTAGGTGAAAGGAGGAATTGGTGCGGATGGCGGGATGTGATGGGTTTGTATCCGTAAAGAAGAATGGCTTTGAGGGAGCTTCCGTCCCGTCAGGTTATCCAGTGTCGTGTTGAGGACACGGGCAGAGCGCGGGGAGTGGGGACGCGACTGAATTTGATTGATTTGATGGATGGATCAAGGTGGTTGACCGGTGGTTGTTGATTGATGGATTTGCTGGCTCTATCGGTCTGGCTGCCGCCTGGCTATTTTGCTTGACTTTGCAGCCTGCCTTGGCCACTTAACTCTGAGTGCTTAGGGGATATGCCCGTTAGGTTTTGGCTCTGGCGATTCTTCTCTTCACCGTTTGCGGAGGGAGAGAGCGATAGGATTGACTGAATTGCAGAAATTCAACCTAGGAAGGGTGTAAGAGATATCGAACACAGGAGTTCAGGCTTGGAATTGTACGAGACGTAGTCAAGGGGGTCAACGCACGCAAATGCTGGAAAAAGAGAGGGCAAAAAAGAGATAGAGACGGGGAAGACGGGAGCAAGAGGCGAGAAAGGTGCTTCTAGATAAACGAAAGACACTGAGGTGAGGAACGGGGCCTTGCTGACCTTTGTACCCCTTGTGAAAGAACCAGGGCGGGAAGGCTTGCCTTGGTGTGTTGGGCCAGTATACGCCGCGCTTCTTCACTTCTGCTTTAATTTGTGCGTCTCTTGTCTGACTTTGGTCGGTCTCGACTGGCGCCAGTCTTGCGTAGATTCGGGTGAACTACGATATCAGAGAGTGTGTACGTGAGACATGCACCCAATGTACCGAGAATATGGAGAGTGAGAGTAATTTAGACGGAGAGGGGGAAATGGCAGTGAGTGAGAGTAAGAAACATGGAGATTCGGTCGTCTCTGGATGCGGATGGATGAACGTGACCTGGCCTCTCTTCGGGCCTCGTTCGTTTTGGGCCGGGGAACCTCTAAAGGTAAACAGAACCCTGCTCGGTCCGTGTTGTGTTGCGTGTGCGTACACGGGACTCTCTCTGTGTGTGTGTCTCCTCTCTTCTCCATTCATTCAGTCCTATTCTCACTCTCGTCTTCGCCTCTCCTCCACTTGTACATACTCCCTGAACATTGGATCCTTCATCCTGCTGACTTCCGCTCAAGTCAACTACATGGCCGGATAAGCCGAAACCACCAAAACCGGCTCCATCACAATCTTACAACCTTCAGCAACCAGTTCATCGGCTTATGGTTTTGCGGAATTGAGGTTGTTCATGATCCTCGCGTTGTTGAAAACGCAAGGTTCAAGTGTCATCTGGTTGTGTTGCTTGTATCTTCCCGGACCACCTCCTGTGTTTTGCCTCAATCGCCGGCGCCACCGCCGTGCTGCTGCGCTGAGCCTCGCCCCGATACAGGCATGATGGGCAACACCACACCTTACTTGCATCCTCCTCCTCGTCTCGACCACTCGCCATATTGGGACACCCATGTGGATTCAACTGATTGGGGTCCGCAAGCAAACACTCCTAACATGGACTTCAGCTCTGGCCATATGATGTTATCTGACTAACAGATAACAATGACTTGCTCATGATACCGATGATTACCATGTAAGATAGCTTTCAAAGCTGAAGCTGTCAGTCTGCCTTATATACGGTCAGGTTCATCATCATGGACTCTGAGTGGCAGGCTCAAATGGTGAGATAGGCATGGTGGGATTCCCGAATCACGTCACACTTGGAGACCACTCGGGGCTAATCTGTTTCGAATCTACAACCAAAACGACACTATCATGACAGTCTAGACATCCTTGAAGAGTTATGTTTGAGTGATTCCATGCTTCTCAGTCACTGTTTCTTGAGAGTTACTCTCGGAATCGGTAACTCTACTGTTGATTCTTACATCGAGGCTCGAAACATCCTCTGGTGAGCAAGGGACCAATGCCCTCACGGGGCGGGATATCAAAATCAACGTCACACATAGATCAGAAAGATGAAGAAAATGTATGGTGCAGTAAGCAGTTTATGAATTGCTTTGCTTGGTTCGCGCTGGATTGATAGTTGGTCTGCTAGTGGTGATGTACTCAATAGCATCCTATCGGGAACATACAATTCAAACAACAATGCCCGTGACGATAATCACACTCATCGACGAATGAGATCAATTTGACAGGACATGAGCACCACTAAATACCTGCGGTCAGAACCTCGCAAAATTCGCGAGACAGACTACGAGACTATTCAGCACTTCGAGGACTATGACTGAGTTCAGATCCCCATCATTTGGTACTACGCACCTTTCGAGGTGAAGTAGAACCGGTCGAACATTCATCTGGAAAGACTCGTCAAAAATGCTCTGCAAAATGGGCTGAATACTATATAATCGTGGTGTTCTGCAATTGGGCATCGCAGAAATACGTGAGTGTGCTGCTTGCTACCTTACTTGAACGCCGCTGCTTATCCCCCCGGGATGCGGGTCAAAGAGGGCAGGTGGGTGCGCAAACCACCCAGCGGCACAATCACCACACTCTTCGAGGATAGGTATCCATGCACTCGGCCGACAGACTGCCAAACATGCAAGACGAAGAAGCAGAAGGGGGCACGGAAAAGCTGTGCGGTTTCACTCTAGATGGAGCTCTCCTTTCTTCGAGTCAGTCGATCTTTGCACATTTCTAAGACCCTCAAGTTTTCCCGCAGGTATGAACTGTCGAATCTGATTTTATTCTTCTTCCTAACCTAGGTATTAAAGAGGAGACATTCCCATCCTTTCCTGCTAGTCTCTCTGTTCTGATCCTTCTTTCCTTCCTGTCTTCAATCGAAATAATTGAATTCGAATTGACAACGCCACAAACACACACTAGAAGGGTATTATGGCATGAACGCAAGGAGAAAACGCAGTGGGCAAACCCAGGATTCTGCTATGCCTCTACTGGTGACGGAGCGGGCAAATCCTGGATGCCTAAAAACCCGATGGATCTCTTGCGACAACATCATTCTCATGTTCTCGCGAAAACCAACCGAGGTCCAGCCCACAGATTCAAAGGCATGTAACAAAAGGAAAAAAAGCCACGAATAGAGAATCAAACCATGCAAGCCGTTAAGTTATCCTTTAGGCAGCAACAGTCTTGGCCTCCTCCTTAGCCTCAGTCTTGTCATTGATGCTCAAGTCGGCGACGGTGGGAACCTCGGTCTTCTCAGCCTCAGTGGCCGCAGGAGCAGCCTTGACGGGCTCAGAAGCGACACCAGGCTCGCTGACAGCGACAGCGGGAGCGGGAGCCGTAGTCTCAGTGGTGACAGCCGTGGGAGCCTCGGCGGTAGGCTGGGTCTCAGTTGCAACAGGCGCGGCGGCGACGGGAGCAGCAGTAGCATCAGCCGCGGGCTTCTCGACGGGGGCCTCAGCATCTGCGAACTTGACGGTCTGGCCGGTGGTCTTGATGCTCTCAGCGTTTCCACCGTAGTCCTTGGGGAGCGAGTCCTTGTAGGCCGGGAGCTCACCGCCCAACTCGGAACCATAGCCGAGAGGGTGGAACTTGGCGATGGTCTTGGGAGCGAGGAAGACCTTCATCGCCTTGAAGACCCAGCCCATGAGCGCGGGGATGTTGACGAAGTACTTGTGGCTGAGAAGCTCGGGGTAGGCCATGGCGAAGATTCTGATCGTCTCAGAGGAGGCGGCCTTGACGGCAGGGTCCATGCGAAGGAAGCTGACGTTGAGGTAGTCGTGAACCTGGATCATCTGGTACGGGTCCTCGCCGCCGTCAGGGATGGCGGTCTGGACCTTGTCGAGGTTAAGCTTGCGGACGCTGAGCTCCATAAGGGCAGCGCGCCACTTGATGAACCTATTCGGTTGTGTAAGTCGAATGTTACTTCATGCGATGCAAGGAATTCTCATTTTCTTGGGTTGTCACTCACTCATCGACGTTGCCAAAGGTGGCCTTCTTGTCCTTGACGGCTCCGTAGATGTTCCAGGTGATGATCATCTCCTTGCCCTGGGCGTCCTTGTGGGTGGTGATATAGCCGAGATCGCCAAACTTCTTTGCATCGAAGGAGACTTCATCAAGAAGCTTGCCGGGGTTAGTGTCACGACGCCAAATCAAGGCCTTCTGGAGCTGGTCAGCAGCCTTGGAGACATCATCGTCGTTGGCGCGAAGGAACTTCTGCAGGATGACGGTGGTGGGGATGTGAGTGTCGTCGGAGAGCTGCACACCCCACATCTCGTTGTGCTTGGCCTCAGCCAAGATGGTGGGAAGCTTCTCAAAGAGCGAAGACAGGGGAGTCTGGGCCTTCTCAACGGGCTTCTCGGCAGCAGGAGCGGCGGCGGCCTTCTCATCAGCCTTGTCCTCCGTCTTCTCAGCAGCAGCTGCAGCGGGCTGCTCAGTCTTCTTCTCCTGCTTGACCTCAGGGGTGGCATCAGCAACGGCGGCGGGCGCGGGAACGTCGACCGAAGTCGGCTCTGCGGCAGGTGCAGCGACGGCCGGCTGGGCCTCAGCAGCAACAGCAGGGGCGGGTGCCGCGACGGCGGTGTCGGTGGTCTGAGCAGACATGATGGGGATCAGAAAAATCCGTGAGTGAGATGAGTCTGAGAGTGAAAGTGAAAGTGAGAGGGTGTCAAGGAATGAGTGTGGGAAGTGAAGGGTGAAATTTCCGAGAGTGACAGCTCCTGGCTGGCGTCTTTTCGTTCGGAAAAATAAGATGATAAGAAAAAAAGTTCAGGCCGGTTTTTCTGCCCCAGCCCCTCTTGCTGCAAAGTCGCGTCAAGTTGCCTCAGGTGTGTGCGAGAGTGTGTGTAAGGTAAGGTAGCGTGCGGGTGTGCGCGTGTGTGGTATCTGTCCCGGTCTGTTGGGGTGACTATTATTTTATTTTTTCCCCTTTGAAAGTGAGCGTATTGTTGGGTAAACAGGCAGGTAGGCAGGCAGGCCAGGCGGTAGGTATAATAGGCAGGTACGGTGAGAAAGAGAGAGAGAGAGAGTATGGGAATATGAAAGGGAAGGTACGCAGGAATTGCAAATGGAAGGTACGAGGTGCGCTCGGGTACTAAAAGTAGTTGAATCTGATGGCAGACGGAAAGTGGCAGCAGCAAACAGACCACACACACCACACGAAGCGGCAACGACAAGTTGTGGCAGCAACGGCAACGGGAAAGAGCAATGGAACCCAAAATGAACCTTCCTTGCCTTGGGAAGGTACCTTGGCCAGTCACCCAGTCCACCTCATGTTCCAAGAATCAAGGGTCACTTCCATCCTTACTCCCATCATCATCTAAGGTAAGGTACGTAGTACCTTCCCTTGGGTTATTTACAAGTTCAGCCCAGGTACCTTATTCTGCCTAAGAGTGAGGCACCTGTCACGCTTCACGCCAGGCCGTTGCCATTCACCCGTCTTGAGTGCTCCGTGCGTTGCTTCCGGGGAAACTCGAGGTATCAACCCATCCAGCCAGTGATGTTTTCTTGATGAAGATGATGCCGCCGCCACTGCTACTCACTAAGGTAGGTAGGTATTCGTACTCCAGACTCGCATCTCCAAAAGCAATCTCAGCTGGGCTGGGCTTCAGTCCTGGCCTGTGCAGACGGGAGAGTGGAGTTGAGATGGACCCCCTTTTTCACAGGTGATTTGCGCCCTCTGTTTCGACGGAGCTTGGATGGGGTCACAGTCCTGACATGTAAACTCCTTGTCCAGAACTTCCTTGTCCCTAGTTGTTTCTTCCTTTTTCCAAGTCTTGTCCCGTCCAACGAAGCTTCGTCACTTGTGAACCAAGGAAGGCGCTTGTTGTTGTTGGTTTTTACGTTTGATACCGATTTTCCTCGTTGGAAACTTGCAAAATTGGGCAAGGACCACTGCCTTGACAAGCCATCCCTACTGTTTACCACGCCGCAACTTTACCCTACTCGAGTCGCTCAACCTCATCAATGATCGATGGACCGATGTGACCTCACAGTCTGTGGTGCTTCAGTACCTATGCTGTGATATGGGTTGAGCAGAAAGAGCATGACTTGGGCCACAAGACGGCTGGTCGAGTTCAAGGCAGCACGATCGATGCGAAGCCTCTCCATCAACACGGATATCTCATTAAACCCTTTACCCCCCAGGGCTCCCAATTACCTCCGATCTTCCAACCTCCGGTACCAATGTGCCCCGCCATAATCAGCCGCCGCCGAATGCCGCTAAGCCAGTTGTCCGTCCGCGCCCTCAAAATGTTTCAGGGGCTTTTTTTGGTCCTTTGCCCTTCTTGTCCTTGCCGCAGACCATTGAGTCGGGTTTTCCAAGTTAGTGCAAGCGTCAGGCCCCAAAATAATACTACGAATATCTCCTCGGTGATCTCCCAAACGACCCTCCGGTACCGTCCAAATAACGAACCTTGCGAAAGGAAGGCACGATGGATAAAATAGAAAAGGGCTCCGCTCCGTTGGCCCGTGCCTCAGGTGAGGTAGGTGCTTTCCCGCCAACAAACCTGCCAAATCCGCACTGAGCGGTCGCCCTATCGAACTCCCCTGGGGCAGGACAGGTTGCGCCTGCCGCGTGCAGGACTGATGGACCAGCTGCCGCACGATGCCGGGCGATGCCGGGCGATGCCGCTCCAGGTCTAGGCGGTACCTGCAGCTTTTAGTGCATTCTTTCTCCACTCCCCCTTCGCGGTACTGTGACTGGCCCATCAGCCCAAGAGTCCCCGTGTCTGTGATAGGCTGACTAAGACACCCCACTCGCCAACTTCAACCTCAACTGCACGAACGGGACGTTTAAGTTTCCATCACCCAGTCAGCTCTTTAACGCCATCACGCCGTCTGCGCGCCACGCGAAATTTACGCCAGCCTATCCAACGTTATGCCCCAACGACGGTTTTGACGGGAATGTTTCAATCCGTCAAGGACAAAGAAAACAACAAAAGGAGTGGCAACGGCCGTGTACCAAAAAGTTATAGAGAACTGCTCTAGAGGTCTTATTGATCGGGTATAGAGAATTTCAACCACTCGAACCCCTATCTCACTAAGGTAATTTCAGAAGCCCATCCCCCATCTGTGAAAGAAACCCAGAAACATCCATAGTTTCCAGATGTCAGCGTGCGACAAACCAACGGACACCATCCTGATTTTCCGAGCCCTCCATCCTGTCCTTGACTCGTCCAAACTCCCAAGGATAGAAAGCCAAAGAAACAAAAGGCATGATGCAAAACCATGAGGGGAAAAAGGCTCACTCCTCTAAGCCAAGTGCCGTAAACGTGAAAGTGCAGATAAGCAGAGCTAAAAGGAGACGTTCCGAAGCCATGTGCCAACTTTCATCAGTCGAAGCCATCTCAGCACCCCATTTTGCCTCGCCTTGTTTCCCAGGTCTGTTGTAACTCGACATTAGTGGCCAATAGAAGGAGTCAGGGCGCGGCGGATGATAGTCTCGAGTGTCTGGTACTCGTGCATGGCAAGAGTTGCAAGAGTCATGTGGTCGAATTCAGGTCCAACACGAAGGTTCAACTCGCGCCAGAAGAAGCCAAAGTATCCGTCAGTGGCCTCGCCGATGGTGCACGTCTGGCACTTTTCCTGGAAAGACTGGATCTCCAGGTAGCGAATAGTCTCCTCGCGGATGAGGGCAATGTACCACTGCGAGGCATGACTGATTAGCTCCAAAGTCTTCTATTTCCACACCACCATTCCAATGTAAAGATGAGCGGAATAGGGATATGACTTACCTCGATGACATCCAAGGGGACGCCATTCTTGGGGACCAGGACATAGAGGTGGCACCAGCTCTCGGCAAAGCGCGGCTGGCCAAAGGAACGCTGCTCCATCTCGCTCATGTTGACAATGAAGGCAATATCGTCCTTCTGGGTAATCGAGAAGCCCTCGCAGCGCATCGCCGCAGCGACGACTCGCTTACACAGACGATGAGTAAGGTTGACCTCGTCACGCTTGTCGCGAATGTTGCCCACGAGGATGCGGAGGAGATCGCAGGTGGCCTTGTACATGGCATGACGCTGCTGAACAGTGACGTGGCCCTTCATCTGCCAAGGGAACTTGGTCAGGGTGCTAATGAGGCACTCGAACGGACGCTGCGGGCACTCCTTCGAAAAGGGAGACTTCAAAATAGTTAGCCACAGGCTCTTGAGCACATAAGATGAAGAGACTTACACGGTGGGGAACCTCGACATGCTTGACCAGCATGGTCATCTCTTCGTTGGACACGAAGCCCTTGAAGTTGTCCCAAGGCTCCTGGTCGTTGTCAGGGAGGACATGGGGGTGAAGACCGGCCCAGAACACACCCCTGGCGTTGGGGAACAGGTCCTTCATGAGAGCAGCCTGGCTGGAGAGCTCAATCTCGACAGGGCGCTGGCCAATGCGAGTGACACGACCACGGTCAAGGTTCTGATGATGCTTCTCAACGGCCTTGGAAGCATCCTCCAGGGTGTGAAACTCGACGTAAGCGTCAGTGGTCTTGCCAGTGACACGCTCCATGATGATATGAACAGGCTCATCAGTGTCATTGAGCATACGGGAATTACGACCCAGGATCGCAATGATCTCGGAGCGGTTAGTGACGAAAGGAATCTAATCATGTGTTAGTGCTGATGATAACGATGAGTAAGATATTAGGTGAACAAACGTTGCCAATCTTGATGACGCCGCGAACCATGAAGTGGGAAGCACGGGGAGGAGGCTCAACGAACGGGAAGTTCACTTGATGCATAGCCTCATTCGCGGCAGGTCGACCTGTGGGACCGCCGGTGAGGCGGTTCAGCTGCGTCGATCGCTGAGCGCGGATGTAGTCAGGAACAGCGTCGCCATAAGTCGCGACAGCTTCCTGAAGCTGGTAGCCACCCTGGAAAGTATCCTGATAGGGAGCTTGATGAGAAGCCTGATAAGGAACGATCGCCGCACTGTTCCCGGCAAGAGGAAGAGCCTGAGGAGGCTGCGGCAGAGACAATCCTACCGGCCGGGCAGGCACATTCTGGACGTTGGCAGCATGTCCTCCGTTGGTTGAATTGAGCTGAGGAATCTGGCTGGTGATATCGTTCTGGATGGACGGTTCATCGTCATCGCGAGGGAGATTGTCGAAGTGCAGAGTGTCGCCTGTCGCGGCAGGGAAAGGGATCTGACCAGTCGCAAGCAAGTGGGTAGTGTCAATCTGAGAGCCAAACACAGGCACAGACGGCTGAATAGTGCCAACTTGCGAAGCGGAAGACACGAAAGGATCTTGAGTGTCCGAAGCAGGGGTATCGGCGCTGTTGTTGGTCTTGATCAAGTTGAACTTGGGAGGCGCTCCAAGGTGGTTCATGGTACGTGGAGCGAAGTTGCGCGGCTCCGTCATGAGACCACTATTGCCGACACCCTTGGCCTTGGGAGTATCGCTGCCGGAACTGATATCATCACCAGTCAGATCGATGACTTCCTTGTCGCCCTGGCTGTAGAGCAATCCACCAATGTCCTGGCGGACAGGGGTCTGGATACCCAAATTGCCCATGGAGGAGCTGCCGGTGAGCTGGCCGTGGTTCGCCTGGCTGGCCATCTTCGGGAGACCAACGCGATAGTTGTTTCTGACCAGTCCACTCGAGTATGAAATTGTACCATTCGAGCTAGATCCAAAGCTCTGAGCGGGAATCGATGAACGGCCCTTGATCTTGCCGTTGGCGCCAAGATACTGAGGAGTACCGTCAAGCTCAGCGATCTCGGGCTGATCAATCTGGACGCAATTGTTAGATCGAAACATGGCCGATAAGAGAGTTTCGAGATGCTGAGTATATATACCTTGCTAGTGGTCTGTTGGGCCTGAGAGGAGTTGGGCACCCAAGGCGAGGAAGAAGGGTTGAGGCTGGAGCTGGCTGAGATATGATTCTGGCCCTGCTGGTTGCGACCGAAATGATCAGTGTCGAGGCGGGCACCACCAGGCTCACTGTCGTAGTCGCCATTCTCCATGGTAGTCTCCATCTCAACAACAGTCTCTGGCACGGCGCGAGGCCTGAAAGCAAACTGAAGGACGCTGTTACGCACTCGCCGCTGCTGCTGTCCCACCTTGCCCTTCATACCAGGTACCTGAGAGTAGACCATGATGAGCAACACTCAGGCGTAATCCTTCTTGAGAACAGGAAGAACAGGAATGATGCTAGTGGGGGATACTGATGGCAGTATATGTGGTGAATGTGTGTGATAACAGTAAGTGCTCTAGAAGGATGCGATTAGTGATTGCGCAGCCAATGTGAGTAGCGTTGAGAACCAACGCCAGGTGAAAGTATGAAGAGAGGCGAGTCGGACCTGGGGATGAGAGACAAGGCAAGAGCAAGTGACTTGAAGAAGCGAGAGCAGAAAGCGCCAGAAAAGGCAAGGGCATACAAGGTGAAGAGAGTGAGGTGGTGAACGCAGAACCAAGTCTCGCAAATTTGGCAAGCTGAGAGAAATTGGCAGAAGCAAAGCGAGTGAGTCTCTCATCGATGATGACAGCGACTTCTCAAAGATCCCGAAATAGCGCAAGCGTTTTTTCTCCAAGAGAGCCTTCGCCGCTTCCCTGAGCTCAATATACAGACCAGGAACAGACGAAAAAGACCGGAAGAAACCTCATGGTCAAGGAAGAAGTGCGATGAAGATTCGACGGATGGTGGAATGCGTTGGATATGCAGAAAAGGAAACAACTCACTTTTACTGCTGGAAAACAGACCGGCCCAAGAAAGCAGTTGAAAATCACCGTACAGTGGCTGACGGAGATCTGTTGATGGAACGTTGTCAGATATAAAGGTGTGGAAAGGTGAAAGGAAGAAGGCTTGGGCGGTGAAGGAAAAGAAACCAAGACCATCACTCTCAAGCAAAGCCTGAAGGGACGGAGGGTGGAGGGTGAGGTGGAACGATGAACAACCGAAACAAGGTGAAAAGCTCAATTCTGCCAGATCGTTGCTTCCGAAAATGAGAGTCGCGGCAAGAAAAAGGCCGAGGGACAAAAAGGAATGAACGAGAAGGCTTACCAGAGGCCGAACGAGTATCGTGAGAAGCAGGTAGCCTGAACAAGGCAGAGCTAAGAACTGAGTGTATTTTCAGCTGTATCGACGATGCGCGTAGGTCAATAAACCCGACAGACCTGCAGGATGTGTAGAGTCTTGAGTTCGATATCGTACTTAAGACCTAGAGTATTTGTTGTGATGGGGCGGGATGGGTTTGTTGATTGAGTGTACGATGTGGGTGGGAGGTGGGGAGAGAAATTGAGTTGATGTGGAGAGAGGTAGGGGAGGAGGGAAGAAGTTGTCAAGGAAGAAGAGGCTTTTGAATTAGGGCATAGAGGGACTCCGAGGCGGCAGTAGGATGAATAGGTAGTTGTGTATTCCATCGTAGCCTGGTGAGGTGGAGGTGAGTATTAGGTCGATGGTTGCATGACAAGTCAGGACGACAACAATGATAAGGCTTTGCTGGTTGCCTGAATGCGCAAAAACACTTGTTATGGTGCATGATATAAAGCGCCAAGCGGTTCTTTAGGGAAGGGGACGACTGATTCCATCCATACTGAACGACCAGCATAACCTTAGTCACATGAGACCGAGAAAGATGAGCAGGGCAACGTCATGGTTTTCGCTATGGCAATACTTGTTCAGCATTCGAGGTCGATTATCAGCTGTTTCTTGCCCCAGAATGGCTTCGACTTCGTTGTATCCTACGACGTCACATCACATCTCGCAATGCTTAGATGGACGTTCCGACATTCTTCAAGGCTCTCATAAGGTCAGCGAAGCGAGAGAGTTACAACAGGAAACGCGTCACTGATATGCAACACTTGATTGGGAGAGAGAGCTGTGTTCATAACGGTAATTGTGTATCAAAATGGAGGCTCCATGTCGTCGTTCCCACCCGGCCCCGGATTTGCGGACCAATATCAAGGTTGGAATCATAGTGGATCCCGGTATTCCGGGAGCGCTCGAGCCAACATCCAACTCCAACTCATACTTCTGGTCCATGGCTTCAACGTGGCGCGAGATTCTCGTTCCAACTACACGATTCTGGCCGTGCAGATTTGAAGCTGAACTCCTGGCGTTTGCGACGCTTGTTATAGGGTATTTTAATCGAACTAAGGGGGGCATCAGTTGTGTCCGGTTGACGCTGCAATGGCAAGTATGACTTACGGGAGTCAAGAAAGATTCGGCAACGAATCTAGCTCTCGCATTCAACTATGTGCTGTCAGAAACTGCCACGGCAGAGGATTAAGAGTGAGGGGACATACGAAGAGCTTCATTTCCGAAATCTCCTTATCAACCTCCTCCATGAATTGGATAATAAAGTCGACCAGCTTGTGCTTCAGCATCTCCTCGGTGTGGAAGTTCGTAATCAGGAATGAAATGTCGTATCCCTAGTGGAATAGTAGGTTAGTGTCGTCGTTCGCGTTGTCGGTTGCAAGCCACGTGGCATTGTAGCCCCTGAAAGCTTCGCAAAATACTTTCGTGATGTGTGTCCCATACCTTGATTGGCTTCCTTCTCAAGATGAAGAACGATTCGGCTCTCTGCGTCAGGAAACGAGTGAACTTGTGGACGAGGATGTGCTCGATCTCGTCGGCCTGCTTGATCTTGATGGATATCCGCACGGAATTGATACTCGGTTCGATCAGAACTCGCTCGTTTTCGTTTCGGGCAATTGTTAGGGGCGTCAGGAGGACTTCAGGTGACGTTTGGGCCTCGATCTCTGGGACATTGTGACGTTCGGCAGTTTGGGAAGCGAAATTGGAGAGCGTCAGGGCGGACGTCAGACTGCTCCGGACGGCTTGGAGATAGGGTCGCAGTGATTGAGACTATATTTCCAATTGTTAGCAAAGGCGCAGATCGTCCAACCACAAGAGTTTACTTACCATGATGGCGAGACGTGGCCGCGTCCAACCTTTGGTGATGCTGAGAGGTTGGAGTTGGATGTTGACCGCGGGGCTCGTGAGGTTGGCTCAGCCGGAAGCCTGACGTTTCGTAGTGGGGCTGGTAGCACCGCCGTACCTTAGCTCCACATCATGCGTAGCTGTCACCGCACTTCGCTGATTCAGCGGAAAGCTTTCTCACGTGATCCTGGAGCTCTTTTCTTAGTGGCGATCCCCCGCTTGTGCCCTTTACATGCATACTACGGTATGTACAATTAAGCATTAGGGAGACTGAATAATGACGGACCCAGGAACTAGGCATATTTTATTCATGCTTCAAAGATAGACTATAATTTTGAGGGTATCTATTCGGTTTTCTAGCATTGAAGTGCATGACACAAATACCATGAGCTTTGCAGGTCATCTCGAGCCTCCTTTCCCCGAAGATGCTGGAAGACTGTCGAATGCATGCGGAAGTGTTAGGGACAAGGGCATATTGCCATAAGCGAATCGGTAGCTGAAACGGACCCTGCAGGTACACCGCTTCCCCGCTATCTTGCCGTGTGGTCCTTTGTACTACCTTGCCTCCCTTACTGCCCGCCCACCTCAAGGTTCCATGCAAGCTTGGTAGGTACTGACGCAACCCACCTGGTGCCTTCAACAAACTTGTCCTTCAACAGCCCGTTTCGCAACGAGGTTTTACTCCCAACACACTGCAAAACCCAGCTACACCAGAATATTGCAGCAAGGCCGACCTGAATCACAAACACAACGATGGCGTCAATACCCGGTAAGCAGCATTACTCAATCAATACATTGCCTGCTGTTGTCTGACTTGTCAAACAGTCACCGTTAGCCACCAAGGCACAAAGTACCAAGTCGAGATCGATACCTCGTCCAATGGCGAAACCTTCAAGTACCAGCTCTACAGTCTGACCGGCGTTGAACCCGAGCGACAAAAGATTCTCGTCAAGGGCAAGCAAGTCAAGGATGACGACGACATGGCCAAGTTCGGCCTCAAGGCCGGCGCCACGCTGATGATGATGGGCAAGCCTTCCGGCGAGAACGCAGATCTCGCTCGACCCAAGGAAGCAGTCAAGTTTGTCGAGGACATGACCGAAGCCGAAGCAGCCCAGCAGGAAGGAGCTACTCCCGCAGGCCTCACCAATCTGGGCAACACCTGCTATCTTAACTCGACCCTCCAGACCCTCCGATCGATCCCCGAACTCCAGACGGCCCTGACCACGCACAAGTCGGGTAGCGGTGGTGCCGGCAGTAGCTTTGGCCTCACTTCGACTGATATCGCCACCCAACTTACCGATCTCTACAAGAACATGTCGGAAACACAGGGTGCCATTCCCCCGCTGACTTTCCTGAGTACACTCCGCATGGTCTACCCCCAGTTCGCCGAGAAGTCCAAGACCGGAGCCGGATATGCTCAGCAGGATGCCGAGGAGGCCTGGTCTCAGATCATTTCCCAGTTGAAGCAGAAGCTCTCCGAGTCTGAGGGTTCTTCGTTTATCGACAGGTACATGGCTGGAGAGCTTCAGTCAACTCTCGAGGCTGATGAGCAGGCTGCCAGGGATGGTGGAGAGGAGCCTGTCAAGTCAAGCGAATCTTTCCTCAAGCTCAACTGCCACATTGATGCCTCAATCAACCACCTTCGCGACGGTATTATGGCTGCTTTGACTGAGAAGTTGGAGAAGAAGTCTTCCGTTCTGGATAGAGACACGACTTACACGAAGAAGTCGCAAATTTCGAGGCTTCCCAAGTATCTTACGGTCCACTTTGTGCGATTCTTCTGGAAGCGAGAGGTGCAGAAGAAGGCCAAGATCATGCGCAAGGTCACTTTCCCCCACGAACTTGACGTTGTTGAGTTCTGCACTGATGAGCTGAAGAAGGCTCTTATTCCCGTGCGCGACAAGGTTCGCGAGATTCGCAAGGACGAAGAGGATATTGAGCGGGCTCGCAAGAGACGCAAGATCAACCCTATCGACCGAGGCGATGTTGCTGGAGCTTCTGGAGGTCCCGAGGGCAAGACAGCTCTGGAAAAGGCCAACGATAAGAAGGCCGAGAGAGCTGGAAAGCCCGTGGCCAGCACTTCTGATGGCGACACAGAGATAACTGAGACTTTCAAGACTGACGCCGAGGTCGAAGCCGAGAAAGATGCGGCTCTCACTGCTGCCAAGAAGGAGCTCTATGCTCTGGTGAACCAGGATCTGGCCAAGGACGAAGGCGCCAACCAGTCTGGAATCTACGAGTTGCGTGGCGTCGTCACTCACCAGGGAGCAAGTGCCGACAGCGGTCACTACACTGCCTATGTCAAGAAGACTGCCCCTGTCGACCCAAAGACCGGCAAGAAGGGCGAGGAGGACGGCAACTGGTGGTGGTTCAATGATGACAAGGTGTCCGAGGTGACCCCTGACAAGATCGATGCCTTGGCGGGCGGTGGCGAATCGCACTCTGCCCTCATCTGTCTCTACCGAGCCATCCCTCTTCCGACGATTGATAATGAAGGCAAGACCGAGTAGGAAAATCCAGCTGCTCAGAGCTCTTGAAGGGCATCGACTTGGCGTTTTCGAGCGATAACGAGGTTATGGGAGGCATGCAAAACAAGCCGGTGACAAAGGGATAAATCACTGTAAGGCATAGATAGACGGATTGATGAATGTAATGGATGCCGTTCATTACGCAAAGTGGTGATCGCTACAATTATTCCTTATTTTTGTGTACAGCTTGCGAATGGTCTTTGATCGACCTGATTATACAAAATTACCCGGGGAGCCCACCAAGGCCCTACGCGTGGGTTGGTCGCTTTTGCGCCGCCGCCGATCGTGGTCTTTTGCCTCGATCTACGCGGATCCATTTGGAGCAGCATTCCTTATCCAGCTTGGATGTGCTTACTGCTTGAGGCCGAACTCTTGTTGGCCATGACAGAACATCAGCATATCAGACTTTTCATAACGTCCGTGGTTAGCTTTGTGGCTTCTTAGCCTCTCCCTCTTTTATCCTCTCATCCAAATACTCGAGCTTTCTCTCCCACTTCCGGCGCTCTGTAACTAACCGGCCACGCTGGCCCTGCAGGAGAGAAATTTGCTCATCGTACGGAGACTCCCAGAAGCTTTGTCGTTCCTGACGAGGAAGAATTTGTCAGTTTCTCGCGATGCGACTTCCTCTATCAGAAATGCTCTCTTACCTCTTTCCATTCCTTTTGTGTCTTCAAGCCTGCGCCATAGGTGGCGCCTGTGAAGATGATGGCAGCGCAGCCGGCGGCTGTAAGGCCAGCGCGAAATTTTGTGAAGCCGCTCATGTTTCCCCAGTCTTTGCTTTGATTGTTTCTCCTCCTCCTCTTTTACAACGAAATTTCGGTTCCTTGGTTGCTAGGTCTGCAAAGGCGCTTCACCAATATTCCCTCCAGACTTCTCTCGATTTTTTACTCCTTTTATCGTCCACGCCACTGAATCGTCGGTTCACGGAGGTCAATTCGTCGGTCGCGGAAGAGAACGGGTTCCAACGGGAGCGCGAAGAAACCGATGAGAAGGATGAAGAGGAAGAATCGTTTGAAGAAGTGGTGGTCGTTGAGTCGAGAGAGTTAGCTCGCCTGTGGCCTTGTGGTCTCTCTAGTGGCGTTGATGGAGAATGCCGCCGCCGGGTCGTTGTCCCAAAGGGGTCGTACTCGCAGTCGCAACCAGGAGAACAGCAATCGCTTGTCGTCGGCGTCGATGATCTCGGCGTTGACGGGTCTGTGGCGGGGGCGGCGGGCGCAGCAGAGTACGGCCAAGCGATGAGCTCCAGCGCGTTCGCGTCGGTGGTGTCGGTGTCGTGGTCGGTAGTCTCGGTGGCAGTCCAGCCGGAAGTGGAAACGCCGCGGCGGAGGAGGCCCCGCTGCAGACGTTGGCGCCGAGGAAGAAGAGGAGACGAAGGGAGCCCCAGCGCTCTTAGTAATCGTCCTGTCAGAGCCGGGGTTGGCGTGACGTCGTCGCTTCGGGTCATTACTGATGTTGAGCGGATAATTCAATCAGGTTAAAGACAAAAAAGACTCATAAGAGGCGAGTTCGTGCAACCCTTGGGATAGAGAGAGAGGAGTTGCCAATAATCAAAAAGGCAGTCAAACGAGCAAAGAGTGTGTGGGAGACATTGACCTTTTTGTCGATTGCGCCATTACGAACTTCCGAAGCGAGCAAGAAGGATTAAGAGATAAGAGACGTCGAGTAAGAACCACCCAGGACCCCCAACTGCCTTTTTTCTTCTGCTGCCCAGGGCATCCTCAAACGGGCTTATTCATTCCCACTTCTACTGGTGCGTTGAAACAAACTTCGTGAGAGCATCTCTCTTTCTGCCTCCTCTTCTCCTTCCCCTCACCATTCATCCCTACCCCAGAGCAGCGTCCATCCTCCTTTCCTCGGGTCTTCTGACCTCACATTCGCCACGACCCTTATCGAATCCCCTGCCCTCTTTTCTCGCCTATTCTCTCCCCGTCGAGCAACGGAAAGTCGCCGCAACACTCACTTTCGAGCAAATGATCACGACCAGGTAGTTCTTGCCCGTGTGGGGTTCTGGTGCGACCCCCTGCTCGTTACAGCCCTTGCTGAAACCTTTCTCATGGCGCACTACTACTGAGGATCTCCCTCTCTGCTACAAGCCCAAAAAGCCTTTCTCCCATTTCCCACCCGTCCCCCATCCTGACCTATCCTGGACCGCATAAAACCAGACAGATGTCACAAAGCCGGGTGACGACGGGGGGAGATGGGACGCAGCCTGCGGCAAGTGCACGCGAGAAGCGACGAAGTGCTACCGTTACGAGGGCCGATGCTGGGGGCTAGGAGAAGATGCGATACAGGGGCCAGTAAGAGGGGGCAAAAGGCTTGTCTTCTCGCTTGTCATTGTCGGGGAGATCAGAAGAAACATCGGACACACGATACGGCAAAAATTGTGAAAAAAGAGACTCAGCACTGCCGCCCCCGCCTGGCCTTGGCTTGAGTTGGCACATGTCGTTGTGTCTTGGCCTGAGCCGTGGATGAGTTCATCGGCCAAAGTTGGCACTTGCAGGAAACAAGCCGTTGATGAACTGTATCAAGGGTCATGGCAAGCGCCGTTACGGTTTACACGAGATCTCAAAAGGCTATGCACAGAACTGAAGTGCGAAGACGGGAAGAGCGGGACGGCTGGAAAGCCAAATTGGGCAAAAGCAGAAGCGTCATGTCAAGCCTATCCGTCTCAACTTCCTCTCATTTACAACCCACCATTCCACGTCAGACTTCGGGCCCTCTTCATGCACTAAACGTCACAAGCAACTATACCCACGTCAAGATCTCGCTGCTGCTGTGTGTGACAGGACCAAAAGCTGACTCGGGGGCGTCCCTGCGCCGCCCTCCATTAGACCCCCGAAGAACACTTAGACACCGGTAGAGATCGCATAACATTTCCTACATACCAACTCCCATTGCGAGGTTACATCCGCTGTCAAATCGGCTTCCGCGAGACGGATTCATCGCACCCGCCGCCATGACGACTCCCCGTGCCTTTGTCATCCGCCACGGCGAGACGGAGTGGTCTCTAAACGGCCGGCATACCGGCAGCACCGATATCCCGCTCACCGCCAACGGCGAGAAGCGTGTGCGTGCCACCGGCCGCGCCCTGGTTGGGAGTGACCGCCTGATTGTACCCAAAAGAATCTCTCACATGTGAGTTGCGTGTAATTGTCCGGCCATGTGAGGAGGATGATGAGATCTTCCGCCTCAGGGGTCTAGATTTGCTCTCAAGCACGACTTTGACGATTCAGGCCCATCAAGTGATGTCACCTAGCACTCATCATTAGTCTCAATGATAATTCTCCTGGCCATGAGCTCCTACTAAAAGTCAAATCAGTTACGTCTCCCCTCGCAAACGTGCCCAGCGCACCTTTGAACTGCTGAACCTCGGCATCAACGACAATCTCCCCTGGAAGGAACACGGTGAGATCGAGGGCAACGGCCCGCACTGCAACGCCTGCGTCGAGGTCACCGAGGACATTCGCGAATGGGACTATGGCGACTACGAGGGCATCACATCGCCCGAGATCCGCCGCATCCGCAAGGAGCAGGGCCTTTCTGAGAACTGGGATATTTGGCGCGATGGCTGCCCCGGCGGCGAGTGAGTCTTTCTGTTTCACCTCTGATGTCTTTCTCTCTCCTTCCATGCCTGTCAGGTCATGCTGTTTCCCAGGGCAGCGTCGTTGGTGATCTAGTCGACGATGCGGTCAGAACCTTCATAGGTGCCGTTTCGGGGAGACGCTCATATATCATCGACGTAGTGTGAAGCCTCATAAACAGCCAACAGAAATTTCATTACTCAGAAAATCTTGCTGATACCCACACAGGAGCCCCCAAGACGTGACGGAACGCCTGGACCGCCTGATCAAAGACATCCGCGACAGGTGGCACAGCCCCGTCATCGGCAACAAGGGCGCGCCCAACGGAGACGTCCTCGTCGTCGCCCACGGCCACATCCTCCGCGCCTTTGCCATGCGCTGGGCCGGCAAGACGCTGCAGGACGGACCGGCGTTCTTGCTTGAGGCTGGGGGTGTCGGTACTTTGAGGTGAGTTTTTCTTTTCGACAGAAAGAGTGTATGCCTCTGGAGAGCGAGACGAGACTGATGTGCGAGAAACTACCTTAGTTACGAGCACCACAGCATCGAGGAACCTGCTATTCTGCTTGGAGGTGCTTTTGCTGTTGATATCATTGATAAGGAATAGTAGGTACCGGCGCTACGGTAGAACGGGAGACGTGGTCTTTTCAAGTGTGTCCCGCTCGTCGTCAACCAAAGAGGTTCAAGCCAGAGTTCCAAATCTGAAAATTCACGATATCTTGAGCTCATCGATATCTAGCTAAGCCTTTGTTCCCCGCGCCAAAAACACCCGCCTCTTCATCCCCTGTCCCGAACCATGACCATGATCATGACCCTTTTCCTCAAAATGGCTATGTCCATGTCCATGATCATGCCCCTCATGCCCGTGCCCATGACCGTCTCCATGTCCATGTCCATGCCCCCCAAAAACAACACCACTCCCAAGCTCCTCCATCCTGAAATCCCCGCCCGCACCAGCCTGCTCAAAGATACTCCTCATCCTCTCCTCCGAAAACCCGTGATGCATAACCGTATGCGCAGCAGGCAACGCGTGATCCATCTTCTCGTGCGGCAGGAAATCGAGAATGATAAACACCCCGCCCGGCCTCAGCCGCTCCACCAGCCGGCGGGCCGAGAGCTCCGGGTCCTCAAAGTGGTGGAACCCGAGACCGACGCCGGCGACGTCAAAGTCGCGGAAGCGGCCGTCGTCGGAGGCGAAGGCCGCGGGGGAGGGGTCGGAAGGGTCCGTGAGGTTGCCTTGGTAGGCGTGCATTTCGTCGGTGGTGAGGCCCTAAGGGGTTTGTGTGTGGGTTAGTGGTCATGTCAGTCACCGGGTTCAGCTGAAGCCTTGCCGCTTCTATCCGCCTTCTCTTCTTTCTCGGCCTTTCCCGTCATCTCCCATGTCTCAAGTCTCATGTACTTCTTTGCGGCAACTTTGCGCAGGGGGCGGGCTTCTGGTCACGCAATATCACTCCCCGTGCGCCGAGCCGCCCGCACAAACCCGAGCCCGCACAGGCTTGGTTCGGTCTACGGCCGAGCACTCGGAGGAGGAAGAGAGAGAAAAGGGGGTGGGGGGGGGGGGGTTAGAAGTGCGGGTGTGCTCGCCCGAGACGGCAACTTTGTCATCAGAAAGATGGGATGAGATGAGATTCTTGTGAGATTCAGGGAGGGGTGGGTAGGGTGAGGTGAGAGAGAGAAGGAGAGTCTAAGGCTGTCCAGAGTAAAGAGGAGGGGGGGTCGGATCGAAAACCGCAAAAAGAGAGTGCGAGAGTTTTTATTTTGGGCAAATGTCCACGTCATGTCATGGCGGGGATCGAAAAGGTCTGAAGGTCAGCAGGGCTGAGATGAGACCAACATGAGGTGTGTGTGTGTGTATGAGAGAGAGATAGAGGGGGAGTAAAGAGAGGGAAGAAAGTGACTCGTGGAGAGAACGGACCCGTCCGTCATTTCATCGTGGACGCGACGACGGAAAACGCTCAGACGAGGGTTTCTGACTTTCTTTCCCTTGACCTTGCTCTACTCACAGCCACGACAAGCCTTTTTCAAGCCCTCTTCCTTTTCCACTTCCCCAGAAGATTGTCTGTGCTCCCTCTTTCTTTGCCGAAACGAGTCCGTGAGCAGGTATCCGTGTGAGGCGAACGATCCGGTCTTTTTCCTGCTCTTGTCTGGAGTCGAGCCGAGTCTGGGAGCGGCTGGCCCCATGGTCTCGTCTTTTTTTTGCGTCTGGTGTCTGGTGTCTGGTGTGCGTGTACACACAACTTTCCTTCGAAACTCTCCCTCCGCCCTCCCAACTCTCTCCCTCTCTTTCTCTCTTTTCTCACTTTCCACTTGGATGCCCGATGTGTGGGCAGAACTATCTGGCCAAAAATGAGGTGAAGAGGAGAAGAAGGTGTGTATGTAGTGAACGATAAGCGGAAGTCTGAAAGGGAAACCCAGCTATTTTGGACTCATCTCTCTCTGTCGCCTTGTTTTGACTGCGTCCAACTTGAACCAAACAAAAACCAGAATCATCTTTTCAACGTACCTGGTTCTCGGCCCGGGCGTTGTAGGCCGCCACCATGTTTTCCGAAATATCTATGCCGACGCAATGCGTCGTGAACTGCGCGAGGGCCTGTTGTTATTTTTGGTGTCAGTCAACTTTTGTCCCATTTATAAGTCCACAACCCGAGTCTCCGTTTCCACATGCTAAAGTGTGATGGACCCTTCAAAGTAGGAAGAACGAACGAGGAATCGCACAATTGTTGTGTAAATGACAAAGAAAACAAGTAACACGAACATGGTGTACACGACATCTGAAACAAGAGCAAACAAACTTGCGTAACGGACGGGAGAAGATCTCATCCACGCTCTCTCGAGTACTAACACGAGGGAAGTGGTATGCTACTCG